CTTGGCCACCCCTCTCTGCTTCGGCTCAGAGGCATGGCCTCCCGTCTTCTTGTGTCTGGTCTCCCCCGGTCCCTCCCTCCCCTTCCTCAGGGCCCTGGATTGTTTGTGTCTTTTGTGTCGAGGGGCGCCAGTGTGTTGCCCCTCACTCCTCCCAGTTTCCTCTGACAGAGGCTCCGTTGCAGACGCTTCACATGGACGTGTGGGGCCCTGCCCGCGTCCGTGGACTCGGTCACGAGCGCTACTTCCTGTTGGTGGTTGACGACTACTCGCGTTACACCACAGTCTTCCCCTTGCGCAGCAAGGGTGATGTCACTGAGGTGCTGATCGACTGGATCCGCGCAGCTCGTCTCCAGCTCAGGCAGAGCTTTGGCTCACACTTTCCTGTGTTGCGTCTGCACTCGGACAGAGGCGGAGAGTTCTCCTCTGGCCTTCTGCGTGCCTTCTGTCATGCGCGAGGCATCCGCCAGACCTTCACGCTTCCGGACTCACCGCAGCAAAATGGGATTGCAGAGCGCCGCATTGGCATGGTCATGGACGTCGCTCGTACGTCTATGATGCATGCGGCTGCCCCCCATTTTCTGTGGCCGTTTGCGGTCAGGTACGCGGCGCATCAGATCAACCTCCACCCCAGGGTCTCCAGGCCGGAGACCTCCCCAGCCCTGCTGTGGACGGGGAAGGTTGGCGATGCGTCGGCGTTCCGGGTCTGGGGATCTCGGGCGTTTGTCCGCGACTTGTCTGCGGACAAGCTGTCCCCTCGCGCTGCTCCCTGCGTCTTCCTAGGGTTCCCCCCCGACGCCCCTGGGTGGCAGTTCTACCACCCCACCTCTCGACGTGTTCTGTCCTCCCAGGACGTCACGTTCGACGAGTCGGTACCCTACTACCGCCTCTTCCCCTACCGCACTCCGTCCCTCCCCCCGCCCCCGCTCTTCTTGGTACCAGGTCCCCCCCCCGTAGACCCCCTCCCCCCTCAGGGTCCTGCCCCTTCAGGTGTATCCCGGGTAGACGCTGTCGAGCCTGTCGAGGTCACTGGTGACTCTGGTGCTGCTGCGGGAGCTGAGCCTAGGGGTGCTGGGATTGGAGGTGCTACGCCTGGAGGTGCTGAGCCTTGGGGTGCGGAGTCTGGAGGTGCTGAGCCAGGGGGTGCTGAGTCTGGGGGTGCTGAGCCTGGGGGTGCTGAGCCTGGGGGTGCTGAGCCTGGGGGTGCTGAGCCTGGGGGTGCTGAGCCTGAGGGTGCTGAGCCTGGGGGTGCTGAGCCTGGGGGTGCTGAGACTAGGGGTGTTCCGCCTGGAGGTGCTTTGCCTGAGGGTGCTGAGCCTGGAGGTTCTCCGCCTGGAGGTGCTTCGTCTCGTCGAGAGCCACTCTCCCCACAGGAGCTGCATGAGTGGTTTGCCCGGCGCTGGAGGCGTGCTGCTGGTGCTGGAGGTTCTTCGGCTGCTGAGGGTGTTGGCGCTGAGACTACTGCTGGCGGTCCGACTGGCAGTGCTCCTGGTGCTGCTGGGGGTTCTGGAGCTACTTGAGGTGCTGTTGGAGGTGCTGCTGGAGGTGCTGCTGGAGCGGGTACTCCTGCTGGGGGTACTGGTGCTGTCCCTGCTGTGTCTGGCGTCGCCACGCGGCCCCGACCGTACTTCGTTCCGCTCCTGCAGCAGGTTCTTGGTCTTACACCTTCTCCTGGTCCTCCTCCTCCTCCCTTAGAGGGTCCGCAGCCTGTCCGGTCACAGTCACTGCTACAGCCTGCCTCCCCTTTGCCTGCTCCTTCTCCCTACGCTGGTCCGACTGGAGGTCTTACTGAGCGTCGTGAGCCTGCGTCTCGTCCAGCGTCGCCTGTTCGTCCTGCACGCTCTAGTGGTCACGGTTCGCGTCAGCGTCGTCCTCCTGTCCCTGGCACGCACAGAATGTCTCTGCGTCCGTCCACTGCTCCTCTGCGTGCCCCTTTGCCTTCTCCTCCTTCTTCCTCTCTTCCTGCTCTTGTCGACCCGGAGTCGGACTCTCTTCGTGCTGCCAGTCCTACTATCACGCGTCTCCTTGCTACTGTCGTCACTGACCCTTCTTTCGAGTATTCTGCTGCGTCTGCCCTTGTCACTGAGCTCGTCGACTTTGCTGCGCGCTATCGTCTAGACTACGCTGCTAGTCTTGTCGCTGAGTCTGAGTCTGCCTCTCCTCCGTCTGTCGGGGGTGAGTGTGCCCTTGGCACGGACGTCCTTGAGGACAGGCAGGAGGATTTCCAGTGTCTGGCCGCCGCTTCACCTCATCTCGCGTCTCTACTGCTCGCCCCTGAGGGAGACCCGGATGCACTTGACATCCCGACTCCGCGCTCTTACGCGGAGGCGATAGAGGGTCCCTACTCCTCTCAGTGGCAGGCAGCTATGGATGCAGAGATGGCTTCCTGGAAGTCCACAGGCACCTACGTTGACGCTGTTCCCCCTCCTGGGGCGAACATAGTCAGTGGCATGTGGATTTTCAGGGTGAAGCGGCCGCCGGGTTCTCCGCCTGTCTTCAAGGCGCGTTACGTGGCTCGTGGCTTCAGTCAGCGGCGGGGAGTTGACTACTTTTAGACCTTCTCCCCCACCCCGAAGATGACCACTCTTCGGGTACTGCTGCATGTTGCTGCTCACCGTGACTACGAGCTGCACTCCCTCGACTTCAGCACTGCTTTCTTGCAGGGCAGCCTGCACGAGGAGATCTGGATGCGTCGCCAACCTGGCTTCACTGGGTTTTTCCCTCCTGGTACCCAGTGGAGTCTCCGGCGTCCAGTCTACGGTCTTCGCCAGGCGCCACGTGAGTGGTACGACACACTGAATACTACGCTGGCGGCACTTGGGTTTGCTCCTTCTACTGCCGACCCGTCGCTGTTTCTGCGCACCGACACCTCTCTGCCGCCGTTCTACATCCTCGTGTACGTCGACGACTTGGTCTTTGCCACAGCTGACACTGCTGGACTCGCCTACGTGAAGTCCGAGCTGCAGAAGAGACACACGTGCACTGACCTGGGTGAACTGCACAGCTACCTTGGCTTGCAGATCACCCGGGACAGAGCACGCCGCACCATTACCCTGACTCAGTCACACATGGTGCAGCAGGTCCTTCAGCGCTTCGGCTTCACGTACTCCTCGCCTCAGGCCACTCCTCTGCCTACTCGCCACTCCCTCTCAGCTCTGCCTTCGGATGAGTCCGTAGAGTCGAGTGGTCCGTATGCAGAGCTTGTTGGCTGCCTCATGTACCTGATGATTTGCACACGACCTGACCTTGCATACCCTCTTAGCATTCTCGCACGCTATGTTGCTCCTGGAAGACACCGACCAGAGCACATGGCTGCAGCGAAGAGGGTGTTGCGCTACTTGTGCAGTACGTCGGGCATGGGGCTAGTGCTTGGAGGGCGCAGTCCAGTGGTCCTCACTGGGCACGCGGACGCTTCCTGGGCTGACGACCAGGCTACGCAGCGGTCGTCACAGGGTTACACCTTCAGCCTTGGTTCCGGCTCTGTTTCGTGGCGGGCTACCCGCTCGTCTTCTGTTCTCGGCTCCAGTTGTGAGGCTGAGATCTACGCCGGGGCTATGGCTGCTCAGGAGCTTCGCTGGCTCGCCTACCTGCTGACCGACCTTGGAGAGCCGCCTCGTTCTCCTCCAGTCCTGTACGTAGACAACAAGGCCATGCTGGCCTTGTGTCGAGAGCAGCGACTGGAGCACAGGACAAAGCACATTGCTCTCCGCTACTTTCTTGCTCGTGAGCTACAGCAGCGTGGACAGTTGCGACTTGCGTACGTGGTCTCTGAGGCCAACACTGCTGATGTCTTCACCAAGGCACTTGCGCCTTGTGATCATCAGCGTTGCTGCACGCAGCTGGATCTTGTGCCTGTCTTGCCTCACTTGCTCACTTCTTGACCTTGTTTGTACCTTGACCTATATATACTCTTGTTTTTGTTTGCTTGACTCTTGTATATCTCTATATATGATCTTGCATGTGAACTGGCCTTGTGGCCCTTGAACTTGTGCTCGGAATGCGTGGTGACTTTGTGATCCACCCTGAGCTTTGCCTTGCTTTGCTTGACTGGTCTTGTGACCCCTTGTTCTCCCCCACTTTGCCTATGGGGGTGTGTCAGAATATTATAGCTTACTTATTTCTGTAGGCTATAGTGGGGTATCCCATAGGGGGTACAACCCAACTAGGGTTTCCTATTTGTACTCACTTCATTCATAGTTCACTCATTCCTCGTTCACTTCTTCTCATTTGTGTATACGAGATAAGACTTATGTGTCTTATAATCGAATTTGCAATGTATTATAGTGAAAATTGAAATACCGCGTACATTTTTACCCTTGCGACACGCGAATTCTGCCACGGGTCACATAGTACCAAATTTGACTCTGCAAGTATTCGGGATGACGTGGCGTCCCGAACAATGGTTGCCGAAGTGGCAACTTCGCAACATCGACACTCTTAATGAGAAACTCTTTTCAAGATGCTTGAAAATATTTCTAAGTAGTTTAAAAAGGTTTCCATTTATAAGACTTATAAGACACCCAAAACCTCCCCAAATACAAGATAACCCAAGCATTTTTTTTAGTGTATGAGATAAGACATATATGTCTTATATCCGGGCGATGACGGTATCGATGACAACTAGTCCGTCTCAGTTCGATTCGAACACGAGTCCTGTCAGGGCCCAGATTACAAACCTTTCTGTTTATAGGTGTCCCAATAGTAGCTAAACAAACTTTGCCGGTGAGCTGGTAAAAAAAACCTACACTATCATTTCCAACGAATTTACTCCTCTCAACGGACCATCATTATCCAAAGGCAGCATCTCCAACAGCAGCATCATTAGCTGCTCTAGCTAAACAAGTAGAATCCGCCGCTGACCCCTTGGTCAACACAATTGCGCCCATCCTGCGCATCCCTGCACACCTCTCTGATACACAACTCTCAGGGCTGTCTACCCTAAAATCCACTCACAAACTAAAAAAGGTTTCCCTCTGCTTGTCAAGCCGTGGCATGGAGTCAAGTCAGAGTACTTGAAGGAATTGCATGATCTGATCATCCACACAGGTCGCCTTGTTCATCATGTGTGTGGGATGATTTGGCCTCAACTGCACCACGGGCTCATTACCCCGGTTCTTCCCCTTCCCCTCCCACCAAAACGACCGGTCAACAATGCAGTAGAATGTCAGCGACGGGAAATCACTGCGCAGAGAAGCCAGCGTCTCGGGCTGCCACTGTCGGGTTGCAAAGAAAATGGATTCCAGCTTTGGAGCATTTATAACGGGAGGGCGAATGCCTTCATGCCCGCTGCTGCTGCTGCTGCTCCCACCTTCTGGGCTAAAGATCCCCATCCAGTAATCAAGAGACCCATCATCTTCCACTGTGATCATGAATTTGAACCCGATGCCCGTGCCGTTTGCACCAATGGCAAGGCAGCGCAGGCAGCTCCATTCCGCGCACACCTCCTCTAGAGGCGAGCCATGCCTCACAACAAGCGTCTCCACTGTTGGCGCTATGCTGCTCAGTAGCTGCGTCAATGAAAGCTGAGAGGCGGTCAGCGAGCGTTGAGAGATGGAAGGGACGTTGTAAAGCTCATCCAATGGCGCGCTGGGCTCCACGAGGCTGGTTGGTCCGTTCAGATAGACATTCTTAGCAGAAGCTAGTGGGAGCGACGACACGACAAGGTGTCTGCGAGCAATCAGGGTAAGAGAGTCGAGAGAAAGTGGGTTGTCGGAGTTGCACTCGACATTTAGCTCCAATGCTGAGACCAAAAATGCCTTCAAGGAGGGCGTGAGGGAGAAGCAAACATCCAGCTCCTGCTCCTCAAATCTGACTGTGATAACTCGGGCAGAAAGAAACTCGAGCTTGAGGCTGCAGAAGTGACGGAAGGAGGAGGAGGAGAGAGAGAACTCATGAAGCTGCGGTGTGATTGAAGACAGAAATCCTAGATTACAGCGCTTGCTGTCTGAGTGCTCGATGGTAAGACTCCTCAGTGCCTTGAACCACGCTGCATTCACACTGCCTAGTTCCCAGTTTCCAAGACCGAGCTTCAGCTGCTGCAGCTGCCCAAATCCCTCGAGAAAAGCGGAATCGGTTCGCGGGTGGGGTTGCATTAGATATGGGAAAGACCTATTGACCCTCACGCACAAGCTTGTGAGGGATTGAGCAGAGGATGCCAAAAGTCGGCCCAAGCCATGAGGATTCTCTGGGCTGCTGAAAACAAGGACAAGGCACTTGTGACCTGGCTGTTGAAGGAACCACGAGAGCACTCCCCTCCACTGGGGTTCATCTTTTTTTAACACGAGGGAGAAAGGCTCCAGATCCTGCACACACAAAGAAGTGAAGACTCGTTGTTTTAAGATATGTTGCTTAAAGAGTATTGACTTTTGGGCGAAAATATGTATTCCTGCTGAACGGTGTAGACATCAATGCGCCCACATAGGGGCCTGAATGGTGCAGGCATGACAGAAGTGCATAAGGCGGGGAGCAGTGCATGACCCGCAGACAAGGAGGTGACACGGTGGTAAAGAAGCAGATGGCTGGAAGGGGAAAGGGGGAAGCACATGATGATGACTCACGGAGAGGGACATGACATGGTGGAGGAGCCTCTTGCTGGCCATGGCACAGCGCAGTAGAGGCCAGGAGGGGCCGAAGCGTCGTGCGTACTCCTTGTGCTTCTCGCGCTCGGAAAGTTGACTGGTGCTCAACCATGAACAGCTGCCTGCTCCTTCTAACGGATCAGCCCGTTGGTGCAGACCGATCAGCTCACACAACCTGCTGTCTGCTGCTCCCCGAGATGACAATTCCTCATCAGAGTCGTCCTGCTTTTGCTCTTGAGCGGAATCAGTGGGTGGCAGCAGCAGGTGGCGGAAGATGATGTGCCAGATGGGGCCGGGCAGCAGATCAACCACGTCTAGACTCTGGTGGGTGGGGAGAGAAGGCAAAAGCGAGGGAGAAAGCAAAAGCGAGGGAGTTGGAGAGCACTATGGGATGATGCGCAGGGAAACCAGACAATCAGATGCACCGTCTGCGGCATCACGCTCACCTGGTGAGAATCTTCAGCAGCTGCGGGCTGTGAGAGATCGAAAGCAGCCATGCTCGCTTCCAGCACTGGACACTCATGGTTAGTAGCCATAGGCGAAGTGACAACTACGGAATTCGAAGTTGGTGCAGGTTTACACAAGGTTGCAACGACTCATCGGCCGTTCGAGTACAAAGGGACACAAGAAAGCGAAACATAGAATAACATTGAATGACCGAGCCGTTCGCGAATAACTATGATTGACTCCCGTAGGAGCTATGGGGCTATTAGCGAGCAAAGAAGAGTCCGCATGGCATTCAATTCGCTGACCTGAATCTCTGATACTCGAAGTCACCCGGCCGTATCACTACACCGCTCGTCCCGTACTCGCCCAAGCTTGGAACCCCAGCCTCACTGGCCAGGCTCGGGCACCACGAGGTACACCTGTCGACGCCATGGCGGTGCCAGTAAACAGCGGCGCGACGGGCTGACCGAGTCCGCACGGCACGACGTAATGACGACGAGGGTAGTCCCTGATAGTGGGTGTTCCGCGGTGTGCCTTTGAGTGAATTTCATTTAGGTTGGAGCAACGGATACGAGTCGTCGATTCTATCAAATCTGAATGCATCGGAACAACGAACGGCGATAAGCATGCTGCTGCGTTAGCTCCCAAAGCTGGCGGTGGGTTCTCAGACGTCAGGTGACCGACCAGCTACAGCAACAACTGTCTCATTGGACAGACAATTTCAGAGCAGCTTTGAGGCTCCTCGGAAAATTCTTTAAAATTGGCGTCGGCAACTGTCTCACGCTTCGGTCATACAATCCGCTAGCAGCTATACACGCGTCGACATGTTAGCAGTGCACACGACCTTCCTTCCACCTTGTTGGTTCGTCTCAGTGCCTGCCGATATCTTAGCGAATCAACAATTCGAACAGTCCATGCATGCGAGGCATTTCGTTTTGTATAGCAGCCATGAATCGCGTCATCGCATCGCTGGACTCTCAATTCCGTCAAGTTGCAAAGATTCATACACCTCTCTAAGCTCGAAAGGTCTAGGTACCTCCACATAATGCTAGTTCCGTAAGGCAAACCGCGTTTACCCGTTTGAAAGTGGCTCCGATTTACGACAGACTAAGGGCGCGTGAGGTCTTTGAAATTTGTAAAAGTTTATGTTTTTAGGGCGAATTTTAGTTTCGAACTTACAACGAAAGAAGTTCGAATTTCCTTCTATCTAAGTTCGAACATCAGGCTTACCACACTGAAAAAATCACACACACATACAAGGTCGTGTCAGATTATTATAGCTGATGCATGTTTGTAGGCTATAGTGGGGTAGCACATATGGGGTACAGTTTGCTAGGGTTGTATTTGTACCCAACTCTGACTTAGTCAATTCATTCCTCTGCTCATAGTTTCACATGGTATAGAGCTAGGTCCCTCCAGGACCGAATTTTTTTTTTGGGCCCACCGAAGCGCGCCCCCCGAGGCGCGCCCTTTTTGTTTTAGCGACCCTTCGGGTCGCCCTCTCCCCTTACGCGGCCCCGCGCTGGCCCCTTACGCGGCCCTGCGCCGCCGGCTCCTACGCGGCCCCGCGCCGGCCTCTTACGCGGCTCCGAGCCGGCCCCTTACGCGGCCCTGGGCCGCCGGCTCCTACTCGGCCCCTTACGCGGCCCCGCGCCGGCCTCCTTCTCGGCCCCGCCGCCGGCCTCCTACACGGCCCGCCGCAGGCCTCCTACTCGGCCCGCCACCGGCCTCCTACACGGCCCGCCGCCGGCCTCCTACTCGGCCCGCCGCCGGCTCCTACACGGCCCCGCCGCCGGCTCCTACTCGGCTCCGCCGCCGGCCTCCTACACGGCCCGCCGCCGGCCTCCTACACGGCCCGGCCCCGGCTCCTACTCGGCCCGCCGCCGGCCCCCTACTCGGCCCGCCGCCGGCCTCCTACACGGCCCTGCCGCCGGCCTCCTACTTGGCCCGTCGCCGGCCTCCTACTCGGCCCACCGCCGGCCTCCTACTCGGCCCGCCGCCGGCCTCCTACACGGCCCTGCCGCCGGCCTCCTACACGGCCCTGCCGCCGGCCTCCTACTCGGCCCGTCGCCGGCCTCCTACTCGGCCCGCCGCCGGCTCCTACCTGGCCCTACCGCCGGCCCTACCGCCGGCCTTGTCCCGGCCCCGCCACTGCACTGCAGCCGAGCCGCCCAGCAGCAGCCGAGCCGCCCAGCAGCAGCCGAGCCGCCCAGCAGCAGCCGAGCCGCCTAGCAGCAGCCGAGCCGCCCAGCAGCAGCCGAGCCGCCCAGCAGCAGCCGAGCTGCCCAGCAGCAGCCGAGCCGCCCAGCAGCAACCGAGCCGCCCCGCAGTAGCCGAGCCGCCCCGCAGTAGCCGAGCCGCCCGGTACCTGAGCAGCCCGAGCCGCCTGAGCTGCACGAGCAGCCCGAGCCGCCTGCTGCTGACCTACCCGACTCTCCCATCCCGGTGAGACTTTCAGCTGCTGCTATGGCCACCCCCAATGTTCTCACTTTTGACGCTGAGGGGAGGGCCATTGACTTTGCCGTCTGGATCGAGGATCTGCAGCTGTACTTACTGTGTGATGCGGTAGATGAGGTCTCTCTCTTTGACTTTGTCTCTGGCGCTGTCCCTGCCCCGCCTGCTGATGCTGACTCTGCCGTTCGCTCCAAGTGGGCGACCCGCGATGCTGCTGCACGTCTTGCTGTGCGTCGCCACCTCCCTTCCTCTGAGCGTGCCCACTTTAGTCAGTGCAAGACCGCTCAGGCCTTGTACGACGCTGTAGTTGCGCGCTACTCCTCCCCTTCCTCCGCTACCCTTAGCCGCCTCATGCTACCGTTTCTCTTCCCTGACCTCGCTTCCTTTCCCACTGTCGCTGACCTCGTTACCCACCTCCGCGCTAGTGACACCCGCTACCGCGCTGCCCTTCCTGCTGAGTTCCGCGCTGCGAACCCTCCTCCCATGTACATCACTCTCTACTTTCTCGTCACCCGTCTTCCTGAGTCCCTTCGTGTCGTTAGGGACCAGTTTCTCTCTGTCTGTCCCACCACTCTCACTGTCGACCTCCTTGAGGAGTCCCTGCTAGCGGCTGAGAAGAGTATTGTCGCTGTAGGGGCCTCTCGGGGTGACCCTCGCACCCCCATCTTTGAGGGGTGTGGTCCCTCCCCCCTGCTGCCCTCTGTCGCCTCTGCCGCTGCGGCCGACCTCGTTGGTTTTGAGTCGGTCGGCGCGGCGTCTGCCCCCAGTGGCAGACGCCGCACTGGCAAGGGCAAAGGGGGCAAGGGAGCGGGTGGAGCCAGAGGGGGCGGTGGAGGAGGCGGTGGGGGTGGAGGGGGGAGTGGGGGTGGCGGGGGGGGTGGTGGCGGGAGTGGAGGTAGTAGTGGCGGCGGTGGAGGCGGAGGTGGCGGCGGAGGTGGTAGCGGAGGAGGCGGTGGGAGCGGTGGGAGCGACGGTCCTGGTGGGGGAGGTGGCGGTGGCGACGGGGGTGGCGGTGGAGGCGGGGGTGGCGGTGGAGGAGGGGGTCGGAGTGGCTCGTCCCAGCGGAGCAGCTCTGGGGGTGGTCAGCGCCAGCAGCAGCAGCAGCAGCAGCAGCCACAGCAGCAGCCGCAGCAGCAGCAGCGCTCTCGCACCGTCCCCGGCCCTCAGCAGCTCCGTGAGTGGTACTTGCAGCGTCAGCGTGGTGGTGCGCTTGGTCCCTGCCCCTACGTTCTTCGCACTGGTGACCGTGCAGGGGAGAGGTGTGGAGGCGCCCACACAGCCCGTCGCTGCTTTGGCCGCCTGACCGACGCCTGGCGTCAGCAGTTTCCGGAGGCCGCTGAGATCCCCCGCTGGGGAGAGCTGTCTAGGGCTGGTGTAGCTATTTATGATCTTGATTTTGATGCTATTCTCTCTGCTATGTATGCTGTGACTGGTAGTGATGAGGATGACTGTTACCGGTGTTTCCCGCCCGACCCGGGCATTGGTACTGCCGCGTCAGGTACTTGTGCAGCTGCTGCTCTAGGTGCCAGTGCGTCTGTGCTTTCAGGTACTGGTGAGTCCGCCCTCTCAGGTACTGTGTCGGCTTCGGCCTCTCACACCTTCACCCTTGACTCTGGAGCGTCTCGCTCCTTCTTTAGGGACCGCACCACTCTCACGCCGCTGAGTCGGCCGGTTGCGGTGTCCCTGGCGGACCCCTCTGGGGGGCCTGTCCTGTCTCGCTTCTCCACTGTCCTCCCGTGTCCGGCGGCCCCCTCTGGCACCCTGACTGGTCTCTACCTCCCCTCGTTCTCGACGAACTTGGTGAGTGGTGCTGACCTCCAGGATGCAGGTGTCCACCAGTTCACCCCTGCTCGTCAGCGGGTGACCCACTGTACGGAGGCGGATACAGGTCGCCACCTGGCTACGTTTACACGTCGGCCGGGATCGAGCCTGTACACACTGACCACTGCTTCTCCTCCAGGTACTGCGTCTGGTAGAGCCCCTTCGTCTGGTCAGGTGTTTGCTGCAGCGTCCAGGTCTGGTCCTGAGTCTGCCCCTTGTTCGTGTCGTCGTCTGTCTCACGAGACCCTCCTCTGGCACCACCGCCTTGGCCACCCCTCTCTGCTTCGGCTCAGAGGCATGGCCTCGCGGGTCCTTGTGTCTGGTCTTCCCCGGTCCCTCCCTCCCCTTCCTCCGGGCCCTGGCCCTGCCTGTGTCCCCTGTGTCGAGGGGCGCCAGCGTGCTGCCCCTCACTCCTCCCAGTTTCCTCCGACAGAGGCCCCGTTGCAGACGCTTCACATGGACGTGTGGGGCCCAGCCCGCGTCCGTGGACAGGGTCAGGAGCGCTACTTCCTGCTAGTGGTTGACGACTACTCGCGTTACACCACAGTCTTCCCCTTGCGCAGCAAGGGTGAGGTCACTCAGGTGTTGATCGACTGGATCCGCGCAGCTCGTCTTCAGCTTCGGAGAAGCTTTGGCTCTGACTTCCCTGTCTTGCGTCTGCACTCGGACAGAGGCGGAGAGTTCTCCTCGGCCCTCCTGAGTACCTACTGTCGTGTGCGAGGCATCCGTCAGACCTTCACGCTTCCGGACTCACCACAGCAGAATGGGATCGCTGAGCGCCGCATTGGCATGGTCATGGACGTCGCTCGTACGT